AGAAAATGCCTCATCGATAACCCAGTGTTATCCTTCCTTGGTATTCAGGGACAAACAGCTTCCAAGGGGTGTGATGATGTCACAAGAAAAACCACACAAAAAGAGAAGCAAGAAAGCAAAGGGTTCACTGGGTTGATATACAGTCATGGGACCCACGGTAAGCTCAAAGACCAAGGTAGAGCCACCAAATCAAGGTAATTTTTCTTATTCAGAATACATACTAATTCTACTAGACTATGCTTTCTAGTCAGTCTTTACCAATTCTGTTTAGTTCCGATTCCCTACTTTGATGTTGGAAATTAGGGAAATAAATTGTAACTTCCCCCACAAAAGTCTACCTTAATCAAGGAACAAGGAATTCAAATATTCCAATGAAAATTAGATTATTTTTTAAAGATCATAAGGTTCCTTCTGACGAGCCCTAAACTTAGGTAGTAAAGGCCGAAATTTCAGCAAGTAAGCTGTCATCTTGCTACAGGACTTCAGTTTACACCTGTTCCCAAACCTGAGATCCTATCAAAGAGTCTCACAATAATCTTGTCCACCCAGCATTGGATGTCTGAAGCATAACATGAAAAATGACTTATATTCTTTCCCACAATACTGCCACAACTTTTTTACTTTTAATAATAAAGTAATGTACGATAATCAATAAAAGCCATCTATATAGACACTAAAAAATTTAAATGAAGACAAAAAACCAACTCCTTGAGCTCAAAATTCTGCTCAAGGCAGATCTTTTTTGTTGCCTATCACTCCCAATTAAATAGCATGTATAAAGCTAATTCTTTTAGTTCAGATTTGTAGGAGATACAAACTTTTTTAATCTAATACTTCGCAATTCAATTTTGAAGAACATACAATTTTTTATGGTGCCTTCATGTGATAGCTGATGTTTTATTAGAAAAAAAAAACAAGAATGAATTTTATTAAGAATAAAAAGGCAAGAATAGATTCATAGATGTATAGGACCGTGTAATACCGTGGCATAATCACTGGCAATGAGATGAGCTGAAAGTAAACCTCCAAGGACACGGATGGTGGTCTCAAAAACTGATACTGTTTTGTTCTGCACGATATAAAAACTCCATAACTTAGATTTATAAAATTACTTTTCATAACTAGGGAGTTGTGAGTCTGGCCACTCCATACAACTTTATACTGACTGACTAGCCAACAGAATATTGGAACACAAGAAAGAGAAGTAACAGGAATAAATGCACATTAAAAATAACATTATTGAAAAAAAAAAACTCAAAGGAAAAAAACTTCACGAATGGTTGGACGCATAAACAGGGAAAAATCAGCATCACTCACTATGTCAAAGCGAAGATTTTTACCAATCCATTCAACAGAAGCAGTAAATTGTTCGCGATCACCGAGTAAAGCTAGCATGTCCAGCGAGTCAATCTGCAATAATGACACAGTGTCAACATCTAATAAAAAATTAATAAAAGAATTTAGTGTAGTGAAACTAAAGGAGAGAGGATTATTTCACCAAAGTTAATGCATAACCACCAAGTGTATCTTCTCCTCCGCATGATAGTGGTCTTAATTCATCAAGTGGAAATGCATGCTCCATGTATCCATTAAAAGCATGATAGAACATTTCACGCACCTACAGCATATAAGCGAAATACATTCCACTTTAAAATATGTTAGAAGCTCAAACATTATAATCTAGGAAAAAGAAGCAAACTATTCCGATTAAGCTTCAAGTAACAAATAAGCTTGTAAATCAGAATTATACGGCTTGCAAACAGACCAACTATAACCCTTAGTGAGTCAAAGAACCATGGGTGACGGTCAATAATGGTCAAGCAACCGATAAATGGAATCAATAAAAGTGAAGCAACTGTCCTTCATTTTGACATAAATAAGTTAAGCTAATAGACCAATAAAGCAAGTTAATCATTATGTTAATAAAAATGTCTGCCCTTGATCTTGGCATAATTAGATAGTAAGTGGACACAATAGGTAGCCAATAAAGGAGGCTTAGACGTTGACATGAATACATTTGACAAACCATTTCCAGATAATTTTCTCTCTTGCTTCTAATCTTCTTATGTCGAAAATTGGTTCTAAGCCAACTACGTTCGGCCAGGACAAGGCTTTTTTCTTTCTTTGTCTTGGTTTCACATTCTATGAGATTCCTGATCATAGCATGGCAGACCTTTGACATCATGCTAGTTGGGGAGGAGATCGACAGCGTCAGGCAAAGTGAAAATCGCAGAGGTTTTCGTTTGATAAAATCTTTAGGGAAGAAGAGGTGGACTGGTTGGTTAAAGCTTTCAGAAAATTTTACTAAGAGAAGGGTATAGGCTCACAGGTCAAAAAAATGATAGGTTGGAACCATGAATTGTGGGGCATTAGGCATTAATGGAGGTCGCAGATTCCTGGCCATCATGAAGAAGACAAGGGACAGGGGAAGGAGGATATATACTCCTAAGGGGGCGGGTGCGAGTAGGTAGTGGCAGATGATGTTGACGATGTGTGGGGTTGAGGAGAAGGGATTTTAAACCTCCTTGGAAACCTACCTCCTCCTTTAGTGTCCTTTCTCTTACTGATTTTGGTCTATGGCTTATGATCTACTCAGGGTAAATTGAACGATGACTAGTTCTGTGAAAGATGAGCTATGAGTTTAGAGAGACGTCCATGGAGATAAACGCTTCAACAAAACCATTGGAGCTACTTTATGAGTTACGTGAAGGAGAAAAAATAAAAGAGTCTACCTTTAACATATTTAAACTCTTATGGTTCCAGAACCAGGCCTTTTTTATTAAGAGCCATTATCTTTATACTATAAGAATTCTAGAGACGATATTTTGAGAGACAACGAACAAATTCTTTTTTTTTTTTTGGTTTGCGTGTATAGTATCTTTCACTAAGAATGTAGTAACTCATACCCCAAACGACTCCACACTAAGAAAATATTACAATTTGATTTCATTAACTGATGATACTCCATCAAAGTAACATGAATACAAAAAAGAAAAAATAACAACCGCTTAAGTAGCGGATATTGAGAACACAAATAAACCTAATAACAGATCAGTGAAAAAGCAATCAAGATATTATTCAATACTAGAAAGTTCGGCATGAAGCCCTAATTCGCTTCAGCTGAAATGATGATTACATTAAAATGTAAACAGAATAGATAGGAGGGGAGGAGGAGACTGAAGTGAATTTGACAGAGAATAAAGCTAAAGATAGAACCTCATCTCTGAGTTGTTTGGCTTCATTGGGAGTGACTCCATCAGCGAGAGCTGCATGAATGAAAAGGTGGGAAGAAATTAAGGAGACTAAGAAAAGATGAAGCATCTTCAATGCTTCCCTTTGATTTTGATTTGGCTTTCGCGGCTCCGATTAATCTCTCTCACTCCCACTACTTCTGTTTCTGTTTCTGCTTTTTTTTAACCCTTCGTTGCTTTGCTAGCCGCTGTTGCTCCTGCGGCTTGACGTTCGCAGCTCACCGCTCGTCGACGCGGACAGCCCCTTCAAGCTTTTTCTTTTCTTTAACGAGTTAAGGAGTTATGAAAGTAATTTTTTTGGGGTAAATATCGAAATTATTGTAAAAGATATATTATAATTGAAATTTTTACCAAAGTTAAACCAAGTAGCATTGGTGGTTAAATTATATTTCATTAATTAATAGTTATGGGTGTTAAATTAGACAGGTTAAACTAATTTAATTCAATTTAATCTGATTACAATATTACAAAATTTAATATTTTATTATTAAAATTTAATTAAATAATTTAATTTGACCATATCAATTTAACTCAACATTTTTGTTATTATAAATAAATTGAGCGAGAAGAAGAAATTTAAGAATGCGGTCAACCTGGGCCATGATAGACCAAGCTCAAACTCGATCTACGAAGCCTAATCGACCAAGCTCATTGACCATTTTTTATTAATATTTTAATTATTTTGAAGATTTTATAATTATTTTCATAATTTTATAAATTATTTATTGATTTTTTAACTTAATTTTGTTGCTATAATTTTATTGTTACTTTTTATTTTAATAAGTAAGTAATTTCAAATTGAAAGAGAATCATAACTTATTATAGTGGGAACAATATATAACAAAGTCTAATTCATTCTCTTAGCTTTGTTGTTTAATTGAAGTGTATCAAAAGGAGTTTTTTAAAAAAGAATTTCAATCATCTCTTGGATCTTGTATGCATCACTAAAGGAGTCTTTGTTATAGATTTTTCAATATGAAATGGGAGTTGAATTTGTATTAACAGATTTAAAAGATTTAAAAATATTTATACAAGAAAAAAATAGTAAAAAATAAATTATTTATTCAATCACTTACTGATAATAAATATGTTATATAAATTTTATGAAACAAATATATATAAGAGTAAGCTAAGTTGACTAGATATAATGCTAAAAAACTAAAAATAAATATTTTATATTCAAAACCAGAATATCTATAATAATTATAACCATATATTAAATAGATGTGAAACTTTAATATGCTCTTTTAGTTGGAGCATGAATATTGAAAATTCTCAACTTCCCCTTGTGATTCTTGAAAAGAGATTTTGGAAATGTATTGGCTATATATTTTTATCATATTTTTTATGCTCTTATTAGTTCAATTTATGAGAAAAAATAAAAAAAAATGCATTTAGAGTTATAAAATTAAGTTACAAGCATAATTATGATGCAGGTGCTTTGATGAAGAAAAGAGAAAAAAAAGGTTGAAAATAAAAGAAGAGAAGATGAAGAAATTGACCCAAACCACTAATAGTAGCCCAGGCCCAGATTTACAAATTAGTCTAACTTAATAAAACATCTCGTTTTTGGGGAAAAAAAGAAAAAATAAATAATATATGTATATATATATATATATACAAAACATAAAAAGGCGTGGAGGCCTCTAAAAAGGAAAATAAGTTGAAGAGGAAATTAAAAAAAAAAAAGAGTTGAAGAGAAAAGAGGGCGACTGAAAAGAAAAAGGGAGGGTCAACATAAGAAGAGTGCGAGATTTTTCTACCTACAAATAAGAGATGAATTAGCATAAAAGGGTACATAGCTTCCTCGTTCAATCTATGAAGGACTCGATGGTTATAAGATTACTGGCGAGGGCAATTGGATACCATCCCCTGTTTGGTTGTCTCTAGAGTCTTTGGTAGCCTACTGGCACATTTCAGCTTGTGGATTTAGAGCACAACTTCTACCTCGCTAAATTCAGCAATCCAGCGGACTACGCACACATCCTCATCAGGGGCCATTGGGTTATTTATGGGCATTATTTAATAGTGCAGCCATGGACAAAGTCCTTCTCTGTTGATGATGATAGGGTGGCGTCAATAGTTGCCTGGGTCTGCTTCCTTGGCTTACCGATCCAATATTATCATCAAAGTGTGCTAAGGGCGATTGCAAAAGCGATTGGAATGGTGGCGCGCATCGACTACAATACGGAAGCCACAGAACGGGGGAAGTTCGTCTGATTAGCTGTTTTTGTTGACCTCACAAAAACTCTTACTTCTAAAATTCTGATAGAGAGTGGAGTACGAAGGCTTATCGACCATTTGCTTTAATTGTGGTTGTTATGGCCATCTCTCGGAGCAATGTTCGTGGAAAGAAGGGGTTGATGTTGCAGACAACGAAG